ATTACTAATTAACCCATAGCGGAGGGAGAAGAGGTGAATTCATGCTTTTCCCAAGAGAATTTGCGCGTAAGTGAAAACAACGAACATAACGGGACTTGAAACTCGGCTCTCCAATTAACAATTATCTATTAAATCACCCGCACATTCAACTATCCAGGATCGACGTTGCTTAACTTCGGTGACCGGTGTTTCAACGTGAAGTGGCCGTAAGCCAGCGCAAAATGAATGAATCGAGCAGGAATTGAACACGCCACGTCGAATTCACATTTCACCACAGGAACCGTTCCACAATATGCGCCTTCCATATTTTCACACACGCAGATACAAATCTGCAAGAGTGCACGAACGCTCGTATCACACGCCCAAATTTAATGAAGTAACCTGATGATAGACGGAAAACTGACCGGTTTTACACAATCTATGAATGTTAATAAATTAGGTAACGACGGTCCTAATTTAAATGGCTAGTAATCTTTCAAGAAAACAGGAATATTATTTATTATTTAATACAGTTAAATTTACGCATATTTTTAACCCATTATGGATAATTTTAATGATTCATATATCTACAAGTTTTATTGAAGATGACTGATAAGTCACTGAGAATAAACTTTTTATGATACTAGAATTTTTGCAAGAGGTTGACGCGTATTGAAATCCTCACAGTATTCTTGAAGTTATCGCTAACATTTTTGTCGAGATTTACAAACTCAAAGGTTTCGATCAATTATTTAATAAACTGATTTGTTTGGGAAAATACTTTGACAAAAACCCTACATCGCGGTTTAATAATTTTTTTCAATTGTACTTAATTTCAACAATATTTTTTAAGATTTTTTAAGTACTCTTTTCTTTGTTTCTTTTGCTCCAAGTCTCTTCTTCATCTGTGAGGAGATTGTCCAGTCCTCACTGCCATATAGGAGGACTGATATTACATAACAGTTCAGTACTCTTTTCTTTGTTTCTCTTGCTTCAAGTCTCTTCTTCATCTGTGAGGAGATTGCCCTGCATTCACTGCCATATAGGAGGACTGATATTACATAACAGTTCAGTACTCTTTTCTTTGTTTCTCTTACATCAAGTCTCTTCTTCATCTGTGAGGAGCTTGTCCAGCATTCACTGCCATATAGGAGGACTGATATTACATAACAGTTCAGTACTCTTTTCTTTGTTTCTCTTACATCAAGTCTCTTCTTCATCTGTGAGGATATTGTCCAGCATTCACTGCCATATAGGAGGACTGATATCACATAACAGTTCAGTACCCTTTTCTTTGTTTCTCTTGATACAAGTCTCTTCTTCATCTGTAAGGAGATTATCCAGCATTCACTGCCATATAGGAGGACTGATATTACATAACAGTTCAGTACTCTTTTCTTTGTTTCTCTTGCTTCAAGTCTTTTCTTCATCTGTGAGGAGATTGTCCAGCATTCACTGCCATATAGGAGGACTGATATTACATAACAGTTCAGTACCCTTTTCTTTGTTTCTCTTGATACAAGTCTCTTCTTCATCTGTAAGGAGATTATCCAGCATTCACTGCCATATAGGAGGACTGACATTACATAACAGTTCAGTATTCTTCTATTTCTTAATATTTTGGTTAGCTTCTGAAATGTATAATCCACTCTTGCAATAATCCTTAGGATTTCAATGTCGCACTTTGCGTTTTATGTCAAATCCCTTCCTAGATATTCAAATTGTTGTACTTGCTTTATTTTGCTATCTGCAATTTGTAATTTGTATGTTGTGCTGTTCATTTTGTTGATAATCATACATAACATCTTCTTTCAATTGATTTTTAGTTCTTCCTTCTCACTTTTCTTCACTACCTTTTGTCGTTTTTCTTAGTTTCCTTTCTGTATCTGATATCAATATTGTGAATGTTACATGTTTTCTCAATTACTTTTTTTGCGCCGACAAATAGAAGTTATGGCTGTTTTCTGTATGGCTGTGTTTTTTTTCCTAAAATCTTGTCTAGGAACATATTAAATCCGCCTCGCATCGCATCGCCCCGCCCCGCCCCGCCCCGCCCGTGCAAGGAGGCGGGTTTAATTTCTATTTACAAATAATTTTATAAAATCTCGAATAATGCTTACGGACATCTCGTAAGATCTCCGAATTTAAGCAACGTTGATCCTGGTCATTTCGTAAATGGGTGATCGCTTTAGAATACTAGCTACTCTAAGCTTGGATGTGTGGGTGGTGTTATGGATCGAAAATCGGAGAACTGAGTTTCAATTCCAGTCGGGTTCGTTATATTGAGTTATGTGCAAATACCCTTGGGAAAGGTATGGATCTACCTCTTCTCCCCCAGCTATGGGTTAATTAGTATGAGTTGTATCAGTAAAGCATTATTATCCCCCCAAAAATATATCTAAAAATATTTTCAAATATGGTTTCAAATAACATGGAAAGGGTTGATAATTTCGCGTTAATACCCTTAGAAACTACATTCTTTCTGATATTGATTACATATCTCCCATGCCTTAAGGTAACAACCAATCTAGCTGAAAGAAAAATCTTAATTCCTAAACCTACCTTCCATAGGAGTTTTTGTAGCTTTCTTTCTGTGTCTGCTTTCAACTCGATGCCATCTGCATACGCGTTATGGTGTTAAGATTGTGGCCGGCATGTTGCATTAATTTAAGTTTAATGAGTAAGGAGAGCCTGGAGAATCTGATGCTCACGGGTCGAATAGAGGGAGAGACAAGGGAAAACAATGCGTGACATACCTGGCTGACTTAAGCACGTGGATGGAAGAACATGGTCTGTGGGAGGAAGCAGAGGGAAGGAATTTGTTGAGAGCTGCAAGAGATAAAAGGAGGTGGAGAGCCATGATCGCCTACGTCCTAAAAGGACAGGGCACATAGAAAAAAAGAAAAAGATCGAACTATGATCGTTCAAGTGAAACGTTAGTCTTCTCGTCATTGTCGTTGTTGTAAGCCCAACGTACATATTAATATTCTTAATGTATGAAAATATGTTGCCTATATATATATATATGTGTGTGTGTGTGTGTGTGTGTGTGTGTGTGTGTGTGTGTGTGTGTGTGTGTGTGCACCAATCACGCTTTTATACAAGTTTCGTTACAAATGACTGACAAGTTACCACGGTTAAGTTTTTTATTCATTTTTTTCTTGTGTAATTTCTTTGTTTTCTGGACATAAATTATGTAAAAATTGTCCAAATGTTTCGTATATCCGCGCGATTTAAGCTATACTTATTATCAAGGATGATTTTATTTTTACTGTTAACTGAATGCATGGATTTATTTATGAATTTATCTAGAGTTAAAGGAATGTTTTATTTTTCAAACATAGTCAGTAAATTGCGACCTTAAATTTTTGTACTTGTTTGATTTCGTTACCCCTTATTTGTAATTTGCATTTTGGACTCATCCAGTCGTTCTGTCTTCTTGTTTAGTCCTTTCTTCTCGCTTTCCTTCACGATCTCCAACAAGAAATCTTCTAATTATCTTTCCATGTTTGTGTCATCTGTATACCTTATATTGTTAAGGTTGAAGCCGCCATGTTGCAATAATTTAAGTTTCTTCTATGGTGACGTACTACTTGGCAATTAAACTTTTTAAAATTTTCTTTTTGCAATTTTCTTACCGGCACTTGTAAAAAAGAATCCCTGAAAATTGTGAACAGTTTTTTGATGGGAGGACAGATATCACGAAACAGTTTCACTAAAACCATTATTATCTAAATAAAAAAAGAAATTCTGGCAATCTAAAAATATTTCTGGATTTAAATAACCTAAAAAAGGGTTGATAAACCGTAAAAAACGAATCAATCAAGTAATTATTTGAATCTATCTTCTTCCTCATCTTGGTTACATAGGCAGGCATAATGAATCTCATGCCTTAAGCTAACAACCTATCTAGCCAAAAGGAAAATCTTAATTTCTAAACTTGCCTGGAGAGGGATGAACTCTGGCAGGTTATCTTGACTTAGGTACACCGTTGTTGTCATGGCTGCAGTACACGTTGTACCCTTATGACTTTAAGGAATTCCCGCAAAAAGTTAAAAATCCGTAAAATAAAAAATAAAAAATAAAAAAATAAAAAAAATTGTGTGATTTGTCAACTCGTGAAAATGAGTTTTCTCCGAAGTGAATTATCTGTTAAATGAAGATTTCTAAATATGACGCGGACATTGATATTCTTGTTAAAAACAATCTGCGAGAATTTGTCAAGCGCTGAAAACATGACTTCTGTCGATGCCACCTTGTATGCAATGTTATATTTTACAGCATTTATTTAAAAAAAAAAAAAAAAGAAACAATTCTTTTGTCATTTGTCTCGAAAATCTGTTTTCCTTGATGACACACTCCAACATTTGTAACATGACAACTCAATGCAGGGTTTCTTTACTCGAAACAATAGACGTGATATTCATTTTAAATTAAGCATTGTGCATTATAATAATCTCTTGCGTGAGACAAGGATGCTTCGGCTTCCCAGATTTATTCAATCTCTACAGCGATGCTATCCTAAGGAAGTTGGCGATTCTCGAATATTTAGTATCGGTGGGCAAAATCTTTAAGATATAAGATAAGCAGATGATATTGTGTTGATGGCTGAGACGGAAAGAAAACTACTGGACCCTCTAGACAGGACGGAGTGGTAGAGGAAAAACGAGAAAAAAAGGACTATCAAGAACAAGAAGACAGAAAGAATGAAGGAAAAGACCAAGGTGCGAGTTACGAATTGAAGATGCCAACATCAAGTGCAGAACTTCAAACATCTGGGAAGTGTGTGTTTTTTTTTTTTTTTTTTTGGTGATAATGGCAGAAGAATATAGGGACGTTTTATGGAGTGATAGTGAAAGCGAATGAGAAGACTGGGAATATATATATATATATATATATATATATATATATATATATATATATATATTTCATTGAATAATATAGACATATAATGAAAGTAAGAAAGGGAATTAGAAAGAAAGAATCCAACAAAACGAATTTGAAAAGAAAGAAAGAAAGAATTAACTAAAAAGAAAGAAAATACGATATCCTTTTGAAGAAAAGTAAGAAAGAAAGAAACAAGCTAAAATGAAAAGAAACAAAGAAAGAAAGAAAGAAAGAAAGAAAGAAAGAAAGAAAGAAAGGAAGGAAGGAAGGTAAGGACGAAAAAAGAAAACAAGAAAGAAATGAACTAAAAAAAGAAAGAAAATACGATATCCTTTTGAAGAAAAGTAAGAAAGAAAGAAACAAGCTAAAATGAAAAGAAAGAAAGAAAGAAAGAAAGAAAGAAAGAAAGAAAGAAAGGAAGGTAAGGACGAAAAAAGAAAACAAGAAAGAAATGAACTAAAAAAAAGAAAGAAAATACGATATCATTTTGAAGAAAAGTAAGAAAGAAAGAAACAAGCTAAAATGAAAAGAAAGAAAGAAAGAAAGAAAGAAAGAAGGAAAGAAAGGAAGGAAGGAAGGAAGGAAGGAAGGAAGGAAGGTAAGGACGAAAAAAGAAAACAAGAAAGAAATGAACTAAAAAAAAGAAAGAAAATACGATATCCTTTTGAAGAAAAGTAAGAAAGAAAGAAACAAGCTAAAATGAAAAGAAAGAAAGAAAGAAGGAAAGAAAGGAAGGAAGGAAGGAAGGTAAGGACGAAAAAAGAAAACAAGAAAGAAATGAACTAAAAAAGAAAGAAAATACGATATCCTTTGAAGAAAAGTAAGAAAGAAAGAAACAAGCTAAAATGAAAAGAAAGAAAGAAAAAAGGAAAGAAAGAAAGGAAGGAAGGAAGGAAGGAAGGAAGGTAAGGACGAAAAAAGAAAACAAGAAAGAAATGAACTAAAAAAAAGAAAGAAAATACGATATCCTTTTGAAGAAAAGTAAGAAAGAAAGAAACAAGCTAAAATGAAAAGAAAGAAAGAAAGAAGGAAAGAAAGGAAGGAAGGAAGGAAGGAAGGAAGGAAGGAAGGTGAGGACGAAAAAAGAAAACAAGAAAGAAATGAACTAAAAAAAAGAAAGAAAATACGATATCCTTTTGAAGAAAAGTAAGAAAGAAAGAAACAAGCTAAAATGAAAAGAAAGAAAGAAAGAAAGAAAGAAAGAAAGAAAGAAAGAAAGAAAGAAAGAAAGGAAGGAAGGAAGGAAGGAAGGAAGGAAGGAAGGAAGGTAAGGACGAAAAAAGAAAACAAGAAAGAAATGAACTAAAAAAAGAAAGAAAATACGATATCATTTAGAGGAAAAGAAAGAAATAAACAAGCTTAAATGAAAAGAAAAAAGAAAGAAACTATGTCCCTTTGAAGAAACGGGAATTAGAATCAACACACTGAATTTGAAAAGAAAGAATGTAAAGAACTAAAAAAGAAAAACTGAAAGAAAGAAAGAAAGAAAGAAAGAAAGAAATGGCATTTTTCACTCCATTTCAAAACTCTATTTCTCGTCACTCGACGCCGGTGATGACAAATGAGGTTCTTTTTTAAATGTGTCAGAATTTGAGTTCAACCCTGCAATAACAAGATGTCACCCTTGATGTAAAAGTAGGTCATGAATGTTGTTTTATTCTCTCTCTCTCTATTCCAGAAATGGCCTTTTGATGTCTTTCTTTGTTTTCTCCTCATAATCCTGAAAGTGACTTCTTCGAAAGCCGTTTCTCAACTTAACGCTACATTCAAATCACAACTTTAAATATCAGGAAAATGTTAGATTCATGACTTACTCAACATCGAGCGAGCGACATTATATCACTTAAAATTCTTTATCAAATGCTGTTTTCTTATTAACTTTCTCCTTGGTAATATCTCTATGCAACTGAAAGTTTTATCACCTTCATTGAAATACCTATACGCATGAATGTTTTTGTATGTCCCTACCTGTAAAAATATGTGCCCGTGAGTATACATACCTATCTACCTCATTGGGACCACAAGCCCGCGTCGCTGATAATTATAAGAGCTATAAGCTTAATGTCTTAATAAAGAGAGCCTTACAATATTTTGTTATTGTTTTTTCTCTAGTTCCCATGTTCTATTTATGTCTATATGTAGCCAGATTAGAAAATTTTTCATGGATAGATAAAATCATCGGTTCGAAATTCCAGAGTATATCACCTGAAGAAGTCCAGAGCATACCACGGCCGAAACGTCGTTCATCTATATAATACTAAAATTCTTTGATTGCTTGCGTGCTTGTGTGGTCCATCCGTTCATTGCATAATTGAGTTGTTTATACAGTAAGTATTTTATTTTAAATATTCAAAAATATTTTTTGGAATATATATATATATATATATATATATGAATTTAATCAACTCAGACGAAATTCGAACTTCGATGTGCTGATTTTACATTCCGGTGTGTTAACTGTTAAACTACCAGAACATCCAAGATAAATATATGGGTATACAAATGCAAACAGAACCACTTCCTTCAGGATAAGCACGATCATTGCTCTCCAAAATTTCCTCTCCCTTGGGGTCCTTAGCTGCTATGATAAAAGGAGCAATAAATGAAATATACGACAGAGGAGAGATACTGGAGGACCTCACTAAATTCATCTTCGTTTCATTACCTAAGGAATCAGGTGCAAATGAAAGCGAGGTCCATCGACAATCAGTTTAACCCAACTAATGATGTGAATCTTGATGAATACAGCGCGAAGCAGAATTAGACTGCAAATAAGCCAAGAACATTGCGCCTTTATCAAAGACATCGGAACAAGAAATGCTATATTACGATATCAAAGAGAGCAATACAAATGCGTACTTATGATTGCTTTTGTTTTGTTTTTATTCATTTTACTGCAATCAAGGCAATAAAGCCACTAAGACGCAAGGGGATTACTGATTGTTAGAGAATATGAGAGACATATACTACTAAGGTGAGAAGACAATAAAAGAACAACAATGAAGACGACAGACGATAACGATTGACATTGCATTTCCGTCATGGGATTGACGATAAACTACATCCACGTCCTGGGTAAGACGATAAACTACATCCGACAGCAAGGCCTCTGATTAGGAAATCGTAGGTTTTGAAGAGCGTGACACCAACTCTTAATTGACGTTTCCCCCAGGTTCATCCTGTTCCAAGGTGGTAGCACCTGTTAGGGACCCAGCTATGGGCAAATATTGAACACACCCACTCAACAAAAATCAACAGTACATTTTTAAAGTAAAATTAGCAGAAATACATTTTTCTCGCAAAGCGACAATCAATACAACACTAAAAATTATAAAAATTCATTTTTGTATGGAAATTAACAGCAATACATATTTTCTTAGAATTACCAATAATATATATCATTTTATTTTAACTACAAAAACACATTTTGTTTATTTTTAAATTGCCAACAATACATTTTATCATCTACAAACTATATATCTAAAAAACACAGGGTTGCCCTGAAAGTATAAAACTATATACGAAATATCTAGTTAAAAGCATAAATTTGCATTCAAAATGTTTAGATTAGATTTCTATATTAAATAACGCATAGAGGTCGATATCCCACTAAACAAATCAACCAAACAAAATTGCATTTAAACTTCGACGTTGCATCGATTCGATCGCATTTCTCAGTACACTTGCGTCGATGTCGCGTCGGATTCGATCACCTTTCCGAGTACATCTGACACGACGTCTCATCGGATTCGGTCGCCTTTCCCAGGTTATCTGACTCGACGTCGCGTCGGATTCGGTCGCCTTTCCCAGTCCACCTGACTCAACATGCGCATCGGATTCGATCACCTTTCACAGTTCACCTGACTAGACGTAGCATCGGATTCATTCGCATTTCCCTGTCAACCTAAATTGATGTCGCAATCAGATTCCAACGCCTTTCTTAGTCCATCTGAGACGAAATCGCATCGGATTCGATCTCCTTTCCTAGTCCACCTGACGACGTCACATCGGATTCGGTCGCCATTCCCGGTCCACCTGACACGATGTCGCATCGGATTCGATCTCCTTTGCCAGTCCATCGACGTCGAATCGGATTCGGTCGCCTTTCTCAGTCGACCTAAGTCGACGTCGCATCGGATTCTATATCCTTTCCCAGTCCATCTGACTCGACGTCACTGCGCATTCGATCACCTTTCCGAGTCCATCTGACACGACGTCTCATCGGATTCGGTCGCCTTTCCTAGGTTATCTGACTCGACGTCGCGACGCATTCGGTCGCCTTTCCCAGTCCACCTGACACGATTTCGCATCGGATTCGATGTCCTTTCCCAGTCCACATGACTCGACGTCACATTGTATTCGACCTCTTTTCCCTGTCCGCGTGACTAGACGTCACATCGTATTCGATCTCCTTTCCCAGTCTACCTGACTCGACGTCGCATCGGATTCGATCGCCTTTCCCAGTCTACCTGACTCGACGTCGCATTGAATTCGATCGCATTTCCCTCCTTTGCCTCGTCCGCCAACCGAGTCCTGGCGTCAAGGACTTTCTTCGAGGTTCTATTTCACGATTAGATTACTTGCGAAACGCTTGCAAACACTGTACATCTGGTGGACACTACAGAAACGCTATAAAAATAGCCACTGTTTCCTCCTCCGCTCCCTGCCTCCTTCAGTACTGCGTTCATTGAAGACGTGTACACTTCAAGTATTGTCTATTTACGTCATATCTGCAAAATCATAGCATGAATTTTGATTGAGGTTATTCTTGGAACAATGATTGTATAGTTTTGTTTCTAATTTGAACGATTCTATTTTCGTAAGGGCTTACATCCATATCGCACTGAAACACCGATTCTCGTAAGATCAACGAAGTTAAGCATCGTCGATCCTTGTCAGTACCGAATTGGGTGACCGCTTGGGTATACTATACCGGGTCCTGCAGGGATAGACGTGCGGGTAGAAATGGGTTGACCGTTTTTCAAAAAAAAAAAAAAATCCTTAAAAAAAAGTAAAATTTCGTATTTTTATCCTTTCGGGTACGCAGTTTTGATTTTTTTTTTCATTTTTACTGCTATATTTAGAATCGCGTATTCATTTTAAACTTCGCACATTGCACAGTAATCAAGACAAGTGAAACTTCCGCGGATGATTACTGGAGGCAAACGTATGTAAACAAATCCAGTAATGGCAGCCGTTCTGTCGACGCGATGCGAAAGAAGTCCAACTTACATTGTTCACAACTCTTAAACGGTAATAGAACGCAAACTTTTAATGTCATTTCTGAAGAAATCAGGCAATTTCACACCATATTGGAACATTTTCATTAGCGGGGGCTTTTGTTGCTTATACTGCAAATTAATCATTTTTAGTAAGACTAATATTCTTATATTTATTTTACTACTAGAACGTTTCAACCGTTGTCCCTTTTTCTCTTCTTCAGGTTATGTGTCGATCAAGGGAATCTGTAAGGTATTTCAAAATGAATCCCTAAATTCAACCTACAAGGGTAGATTTCTCTGATTCTGTTGTACACGTAAATGCTGGACAGCAGAATCTGAATCTACACCATTAGATTTAATAATCGAAATTTCCTAATGGTTACTCGTATCGACAGACACCTAACGTATAGGTGCCTGTCGATACGGGTGAGGGTGAAGGTACCAATTTCTACAGAAACCCCTGGGACACGTAATGAGAAAGGAAAGCTTGGAAAATCTGATACCCACAGGGCAGATAGAGGGAAAGAAGGTCAAGGGAAAGCAACGCGGGATATACCTAGCGAGCTTAAGTAAGTGGATGACGGAACAGGGTTTGGGAGAGGGGTAAGGGGACAAAACATATTGAGAGCTACAAGGGATAGGAGGAAGTGAAGTGCCATGATCGCCTACGCCCTGAGGGGACACGACATATAAAAGACGAAAGAATCCATAAGGTGCGATAGGTACAAGATATTGTCCAGTTTTTCTTCCGGGGAGACATTCACTGGGAAGCTGACTACTTAATTTCAACCCAATTACGTGGTTCACTCGCACGCACGCACGCACGCAAGCAAACACTGACACATACACAATCTCTCTCTCTCTCTCTCTCTCTCTCTCTCTCTCTCTCTCTCTCTCTCTCTCTCTCACACACACACACACACACACACACACAAGTAGGTTGCAAGAGCTAATTTGCTTTCTGTCGAGCAACAACCTCAGGATTAGCGTATCAACCAACCTTTTGAAGTCATTTTTATGACACTTGTAAACTGAATACATTTTCTAATAAATGTATTTTTTTTTTTAAATAGCCTAATGTTTACGTGGCCGAGTGGTTAGAACGTTCGTATTCTGACTACGAGACCCGAGACGATTTGTCAGGAAGGAAACTTCTTGATGTTATTGGACTGGAGGGGTCGATCTCAGCGTCCGGCACTATATTATACCACGGGTTGACCCAAGACTTGTGAGTAAAATTGGGTAGACGTAACCGTTAAGGGTCGTCGATGGCTGTGCTAGCACGAAGTCATAAGTCATCGTGACCGAGGGTTTGAACGTGCTGGTCTTGTTCAAATTGATGATAACGCTAGATAACACACGCTTTCCCAGAAACTGCAACTAAGGTCTGCTCAGCATAGATTACAGTATAAACCACAAGTTGGCTCTGTGGGCGTTGAATCAACACAAATGCGCCTGAGCAAGCATCTGCAATAAGGATTGGCCAGCCGCCCTAATAGAGGGGTATCATCGAATACGAGTAGCCAGTTTTAAAGTGTTTTAAATAGACTAATGTTTACATTTTAAATTTGATCCGCTTGCTGAACTATTCTTAATGAAATTGAATTGGCCATCTGTCCAGAGAGGGCTAAAGTTACTTTCTGTCCGGCAACACTACCATACTCTAATTTTGCTAGGCATAAACGAAAGATTAACCTGTGGGCTATACGGAGATGGTATTCCGATGTCCTTAGAAAGTAGGTTTTTACGGGATGGAGTTACTAATTGGCATTGAAACATTGAATTCAGAGTTATCTTCTCCTACACCGATTGCCAGCAAATGTTGTCTTACTATTTAAACCATAGATTGATTAAAAGAGTTAGTTTCATATGCAAGAATATTTTCGTCAGAGTTAATGTAACGAATAATTCCGTTACTATTTACTACACCCTTGTGCAAATTAATAGAAACAACTTCTTTAGTTTCCTTTCTTTCACCATTCGGTCAGTTTTTGACCCACTGTAGTGACAGGGTGTAATCGATTTCTATTTCTTTCTCAGATTAGGTCATTTGCCGTGATGTGCGATAATACGAAGCTGTTTTCGGGGTGTATGATAAAATTTGTTCGCCTTTGAAAATTATTGCGTCCTCCGTGATTGCATCAGATTTTTATCACGCCCAGACACTACTGTTTCGACTGTCGATTAGTTGTCCTACGGCCATTGCCTGCGATGAACGTCAATCCAAGGAAACATACGAAAATTATAACGCTGCACGAACACGCTGGCAAGCCTTACCAGTGAGGAAATAAAAGTACTATAGATTGGCCCGGAAAATCTCCTGATTTAAATCCAATCGAGAATCTGCGGTCAATCTGCAAGGAACGACTTCATAGAATGGACATACAAAGTACTACTAATACGAAAAAAGTAAATAGTAACGGATTTACTCATTTTGTTTCAATTAATTTGTACAAGGGTGTATAATAAATTTAGTATAGGGTGTTTCACAATTTTTTAATCAAAATGATCAGGCACAAATCAAGGACCACAAATGACAGAGTAATGGAAATTACATTTATTGAAAGGTAAAAGGATAACATTTTAGGATCAGCAACCATTTACTCTCAAACATGAAAAAAAATTGACAAGAGGAGGCCTAGAGTTCAGTTGAAGACACTGTTGAAAGGAAAGTTGCGTCATCCGAGATTACATCAGATTTTTATCAAACCCAGACACTACTGTCTCAACTGTCGATTAGTTGTCCCACGGCCATTGGTTGCGATGGGCGTTACTACAAGAAAGCGAACAAAAATTGTAACGCTGCACGAATACAGTGCCAAGTCTTACCAGTGAGCAAATCGAAGTTGTATAGACTCCCCTGATTTAAATCCAATCGAGAATCTGTGGTCAATATGCGGGGTCATGTTTCATTGGAAAAATAAGAAAAAAAGGTAAATAATAACGGAATTATTCGTTTTGTTTCCATTACTTTGCACAAGGGTGTAGATGATCATGGCACTCCACATCTTCCTGTATAATTAATTTGCACAAGGGTGTACGAGTTAAGTTCGCCGATCTCTCGTCCGGAGCTGGCCCCTCTATTGCCTGCAAAACAATTCCCCCTCCCCAAATTTATAGACAAAACGTACAAATGCTTTCTGGGATTTCTTCAAGGCCAGTAATATAGACTACTTCTCGGTCTCATCCGCCATATACTTGTTCTTTCTTATCTTGTAGTTCGAACGTCTGTATCCCTTTCCTGTGTTAACACCATTCTTATTTTGTGAACATTTTTTTGCCTCATTAATTTTGCTTTGCCTACTTTTGTCTTGCATATATTGATTGCTTAGTATTAAACATTGTCAATTCATTTCTTTGGGTATTTTTGTCAATTAAATTTAAGCATGGCCAATTACTCTACAACAAGGTTATATCTAAAATAGAAAAATGCATTATTTACACTATTTACATTGTTCGGGCTGTTGTCCTCATCTTTGTCGCCATATTCATAACGTTTCGACCATTGTACGATCCGTTTTTCTTCAAGTGATTGGAATTTCGAATCGAATCCTTTATTTCGTCCACCGGGGTAGATTGTTCTAGTTCCACGTGCCATGCCTTTTCCGACTCTTTCCGTGATCTCCCTTTTTAATTCAACTCTCCAATTTTTTGTTCACCTCTGCTATAGCTAGGTATTGAACTCACAACTCTTTGGTTCAAGTCACTGGATTCAACAAACTTTTTATCCATTGGACCTTGAATATACATTGTTAAATACAGCCATATTTTTCTTCGTTCCTGTTTGGAAGTCAGAATGCTGCGATCACTTGTTTGTATCCCCTTTGTGTGTTAGTATCCTTTTTACTTTGTGAACCTTTTTGCCTTATTACTGTTGCTTTACTTATTTCTGTCTTGCATATTTTTATTTGCTTAATAGGATCTGTTCTTTTGTTATTGTTTATTGCAAACTTTGTCAATTCTGTTTTGTTGCCTATTTCTACCAATTACGTTTAAGCATGGCCAATTATTCCACAATAAGGTTATATTTAAAATTATATCCCCAAAATTCCTTCTTTATAGTATTTAATCAAACTTGTATCAATGAAGGACTGTTACCGAGAGGTATTGAGTATATAGATGGGTACATCAAATAAGTCCATAGCTTAATGATTAAAAAAAGTATTTCTTTTTAATGATAATAATCTTCAAGTACGATTAGGATTTGCATCCCTTATCCTTGAGTCTACTCTCCAGGGAAGTTGCCTGAGTAATTAGTCTACAAAGATCAACAAGTTACATTCAAAGTTAATCATATAGATTTTTATTCTATATTTATCCAGAGAGCCTGTATCTTATTTATATAAGTAATATTATTTGAATTTCTGAAGCAATGATAATTATCATTCATTTTTTGCCTAGTATTTCTTTCGTTTTAATTTCAGTTGCTTTTTATTGCAATTCTCAGATTGTCTTTCCATAATCATTAATAAGCAGTAGAGATTAGAAATTTAAAAAAAAGAAAGAAAGATAACTCCAAAAGCTAAGGGATTTATATTCAAATCTCAACAGAGATTTATCATTCATTTTCAATCATTTATTTATTTATATATTTATAGAATGAAGATCTGGGAATTGTAATAAAAAGCAGTGGTATTTATTTGTGTTCATTTGACTAGAATATAAAATAAGTATTGGTTCCAGTCTTTGGTAGGAATGTGTATTTATTCCTTACTTGTGTACAAAATTGTGGCACAAGGTCGTATGGGAAGTGGGGTAAGGTTGACGTTAACGTTACAAGAGAATCTTGAGGCTGAGTAAACTCCGCCATAATAAGGGGTTTAACATCTCAGCACCCGTCACCAATAAACAGTTCCCAAAAAAAAAAAAAACTGTATCGCACAAAAAAAACAAAAAAAGAAAACAAAAAACGACCAAACCAGGATGACAAACTACAATGCTGGACAGAACAAACATGAAAAACTTGGACACTTACTTGTTTCAGACTCTGTCAGAAAATAGACTATTCCAAGAAAGGTAAAAAATCATAACTGCGATAAAATCCAAGTGGGAATAATCCTTGGTAAGAATGTATATATATATATTTTGTAATAATTACAAAATTGTGGCACAAGGACGAAGGGGAAGCAGGGGAAAATCTGGTCTTCACTGACTATCATAGTCCTAGTTAATTACAATCACGGCTCATTCATTCAATACAATAGGTTCAAACACCACAAGAACGTGTCCATCACCTTCTAATCCTATATGTACCACAATACCATATATTTACAAGGGACTTACAAAAATGATGTAAAAATTGATAGTGTTTATAAAGTCTCTCTTGTTTTTACACTTTTCTTTTTTACAAAAATATGTAAAAGTTTCATGAAATATGAAATGATGGGGAGTAAAGAACCCGAAAAGAAAACTAAAGGAACATAAACAAATTAAAATAAAACATATGTTAGTAGGATCCGTCCATCCCCTTAAAATAATAAGAGAGACCACTGTATTCTACCATTCGACAGATATTTTTTAGGAATGATTGCGAAAGCATCCCGTCCCCATATTTATAGACAAATAATACTGATGCATGCTGGGATTTTTTTAGCCAATAAGTCACTTTTTTAGCCAATAGGTCACTTCTCATCCGCCATATTTCTGTTTATTTTTGCCTGGAAGTCAGAACTTGTCTGTATTCTTTTTGTGTGTTAACACCATTGTTAGTTTTTGAAAATGTTTGCCTCATTACTATTGCTTTGCCTACTGTTGTCTTGCATATATTTTTTTTTCAATATTATATTGCTTGTTCTTTCTTTTTGTCATTGATTATTGGAGTTTATCTTTAAGTCTGTATGCCTTTACGCGGTTTGGATAAATCAATATAAGTCGTTTATATTTGAGTCTATAATCATTTACGCGATTCAAAAATGGTCAAAAACTAGTCGTCTGTATTTGCATCTATAAACATTTACATGGTTCATGAATAGGGAAACATTGCTTGTTTGTATTTGAGTCTATATGAATTGTCAATTAACCATGACAAATTACTCTACGAAAGCACATGGTATCTAGGCAACAACGCCTAGGAAAAGTCTAAATCGGTGCTGCCCTTTAAAATCATCTTCATGACACTTGTATGTAAAATGAATATATTTTCTAATAAATGTAGCCTTTTAAGTAGACAATTTAGATTTGAAATGTGACCATCTTGCCGACAGCCAAGTGACAGGTACCAAACTAGAATTGCTAATCATTTTGACAGCAACCAAAATAACCCTGCCGTCTGAAACCAGGTCAATTGATATTCGTTCTGGATCGTTTCGCCAAGTCAAAGGCTTCACTGAATAGAGATAAGAATGTCTTATAAACGGTAACCAACTACAAATATTCAACGATATTTATTCTATGTTTTAAAATATTATTTTCTTATATACGCTACAGTTCAAAAGTTCGAAGCCCTCCCAAAATTAGCATGCGATGAACTTGACAAAAGAGGGAAAACGGATAAAAAGAGTTTTTGGAATCATTTAAAAAAGAATGGAATCAATTATCAAACTTATACTTTGAGAAAGTTCTACAACGAATGGAAAAAATTTGTGCTGCAGTAATCCAGGCAAAGGAGGATATTTTGACGAGTGCAAAATTTAATCATAATTTTTTTTTCTTTTCCTCATAACAAAATATCTAATAAAAATCATATCTTACCGTTTTTTTAACCATGTATAATTATGTTCTCTCCTTTAAAGCATAAAACAACTAAATTTGGGGCCAATTTTGAAGATTACCAAAGTTACCCTCAAATTGTTGAACACTAGTCAACGTATATATAGAGGGTGTATCAAAATATTTTTCAAAATTTTGGGGGCTGGTTTCTCACACCAAAACAAGGAGAAAATCCATATAAATTGCGAAACTATTCGATATCACGTTGATGTATTTGAAAGGGTCCTCCATTTTGACGGGTACATGCGTGTGTAGAAGCAAGCGGAGGACATTTTGAGGTACATACGTTGGATTTTCGACATATGTTTATGTGGATATTTTACCTTGCTTTGATGTTACGAAGCCGACCCCAAAGTTTGTAAAAGCATTTTTAGATTATATCTAGGATGGTACATTTAGCAACGTCTACTGTAAACTCAAAAGCAAAGAATATGCGGACAGGTCCTTGTTTTGGCGTGAGGAACCCGCCCCGAAAGTTTGTAAAAGTATCTTTGATACACCCTGTACATGTATGTAAGTATATATAAGGATATAATTATATATATATATATATATATATATATATATATATATATATATATGCATGCATCTATCTATGGAAAATCTACTCCAGACAATAGAGACATATCAGTGCTTTTCATCGTCGCTGAGACGCATTCTGGGCATCAATTGGGCCCATCGGGTCACCAACGCTGTAGATCTCAAGGGCGCCCTGTTACCCTGACTATATGCCCTTCTCCAACAGCACGGCACCACAAGTATGGACATGTGAACCGTATAACGGATGGAAGGATTACGAAAATTATTCTTGACGAGGAACTGCCATTATAAAAGGATACGATGGCGATCACATCTTCGTTTTAAGGACGTCTGAAAAAGGAATATCGATTCTCCAGCACTCGGTGTCAATTGCCTCCCCAGTATGAGCGATCGTTGGCGACATCTTCCCACCTATCGATGTGCATTATCAAACTTCTCTTTCTCCTCTCCTTTTTCCAGCCCTCGGTGTCAATCGCCTTCCCTGTGAGCAATCGTTGGCGACGTCTTCCCACCCATCGATGTGCATCTTCAAACTTCTTTTCTCCTCTCCTTTTTCCAGCCCTCGTTGTCAATCACCTTCCCAGTGTGAGCAATCGTTGGCGACGTCTTCACACCTAACGTTGTGCATCTTCAAACTTCTCTTTCCCTCCCTGCCCTTTGTCAATCCCTTCCCAGCCCTCGTTGTCAATCGATGCATCTTCAAACTTCTCCCAGGCTCGGTGAATCAAGTCGAGCAATTTGGCGACGTCTTCCCACCTATCGATGAGCATCTTCAAACTTCTTTCTCCTCCTTTTTCCAGGCTTTTCCAGGCTCGGTGTCAATCATCGCTTCCCAGTGTGAGCAATCGTTGGCGACGTCTTCCCACCTATCGATGTGCATCTTCAAACTTCTCTTTCTCCTCTCCTTTTTCCAGGCTCGGTGTCAATCACCTTCCCAGTGTGAGCAATCGTTGGCGACGTCTTCCCACCTATCGATGTGCATCTTCGAACTTCGCTTTCTCCACTCCTTTTCCAGGCTCGGTGTCCAGCCCCAGTGTGAGTAATCGGTGTCGTCTTCACACCTATCGTTGTGCATCGCTCTTTCTCCTCCATTTTCCAGCCTCCCAGTGTGAGCAATCGTTGGCGACGTCTTCCCACCCATCGATATGCATCTTCAAACTTCTCTCTCCTCTCCTTTTTCCAGGCTCGGTGTCAATCACCTTCCCAGTGTGAGCAATCGTTGGCGACGTCTTCCCACCTATCGATGTGCATCTTCAAACTTCTCTTCCTCCTCTCCTTTTTCCAGGCTCGGTGTCAATCACCTTCCCAGTGTGAGCAATCGTTGGCGACGTCTTCACACCTATCGTTGTGCATCTTCAAAGTTCTCTTTCTCCTCTCCATTTTCCAGCCCTCGTTGTCAATCACCTTCCCAGTGTGAGCAATCGTTGGCAACGTCTTCCCACCTATCGATGTGCATCTTCAAACTTCTTTCTCCTCTCCTTTTTTCCAGGCTCGGTGTCAATCGCCTTCCCAGTGTGAGCAAACGTGGGCGACGTCTACCCACCTAACGATGTGCATCTTCAAACTTCTCTTTCTCCTTTCCTTTTTCCAGTCCTCAGTGTCAATCACATTCCCAGTGTGAACAATCGTTGGCGACGTCTTCCCACCCATCGATGTGCATCTTCAAACTTCTTTTTCTCCTCTCCTTTTTCCAGGCCTCGGTGTCAATCACCTTCCCAGTGTGAGCAATCGTTGGCGACGTCTTCCCACCCATCGATGTGCATCTTCAAACTTCTCTTTCTCCTCCTTTTTCCAGGCTCGGTGTCAATCACCTTCCCAGTGTGAGCAATCGTTGGCGACGTCTTCCCACCTATCGATGTGCATCTTCAAACTTCTCTTTCTCCTCTCCTTTTTCCAGGCCTCGGTGTCAATCGCCTTCCCCAGTGTGAGCAATCGTTGGCGACGTCTACCCACCCATCGATGTGCATCTTCAAACTTCTCTTTTTCCAGTCCTCGGTGTCAATCACCTTTTTGAGAGTCCAGCCCCACCTATCGATGTGTCAATCGCCTTTCCCCTCGGTGTTTATCGCCTTCCCAGTTGAGTTGAGCAATCGTTGACGACGTCTTTCTCCCACCCTCGTTGTCATCGATGTTGCATCTTCAAACTTCATCTTTCTCCTCTCCTCTTTTTTCCAGGCCTCGGTGTCAATCACCTTCCCAGTGTGAGCAATCGTTGGCGACGTCTTCCCACCCATCGATGTGCATCTTCAAACTTCTCTTTCTCCTCTCCTTTTTCCAGGCTCGGTGTCAATCACCTTCCCAGTGTGAGCAATCGTTGGCGACGTCTACCCACCTATCGATGTGCATCTTCAAACTTCTCTTTCTCCTCTGCTTTTTCCAGTCCTCGTTGTCAATCACCTTCCCAGTGTGAGCAATCGTTGGCGACGTCTTCCCACCCATCGATGTGCATCTTCAAACTTCTTTCTCCTCTCCTTTTTCCAGCCCTCGGTGTCTATCGCCTTCCCAGTGTGAGCAATCGTTGGCGACGTCTTCCCACCCATCGATCTGCATCTTCAAACTTCTCTTTCTCCTCTTTTTCCAGTCCTCGGTGTCAATCACCTTCCCAGTGTGAGCAATCGTTGTTCACCCATCGATGTGCCCGAACTCAATCTTTTTCCACCCATCGGCGACGTCTTCCCACCCATCGATGTGCATCTTCAAACTTCTCTTTTCTCCTCTCCTTTTCCCAGGCCTCGGTGTCAATCACCTTCCCAGTGTGAGCAATCGTTGGCGACGTCTTCCCACCCATCGATGTGCATCTTCAAACTTCTTTCTCCTCTCCTTTTCCAGCCCTCGTTGTCAATCACCTTCCCAGTGTGAGCAATCGTTGGCAACGTCTTCCCACCTATCGATGTGCATCTTCAAACTTCTCTTTCTCCTCTCCTTTTTCCAGGCTCGGTGTCAATCGCCTTCCCAGTGTGAGCAAACGTGGGCGACGTCTACCCACCTAACGATGTGCATCTTCAAACTTCTCTTTCTCCTTTCCTTTTTCCAGTCCTCAGTGTCAATCACATTCCCAGTGTGAACAATCGTTGGCGACGTCTTCCCACCTATCGATGTGCATCTTCAAACTTCTCTTTCTCCTCTCCTTTTTCCAGGCTCGGTGTCAATCACCTTCCCAGTGTGAGCAATCGTTGGCGACGTCTTCCCACCTATCGATGTGCATCTTCAAACTTCTTTCCTCTCCTTTTTCCAGGCTCGGTGTCAATCAACTTCCCAGTGTGAGCAATCGTTGGCGACGTCTTCCCACCTATCGATGTGCATCTTCAAACTTCTCTTTCTCCTCTCCTTTTTCCAGCCCTCGGTGTCAATCACCTTCCCAGTGTGAGCAATCGTTGGCGACGTCTTCCCACCTATCGATGTGCATCTTCAAACTTCTCTTTCTCCTCTCCTTTTTCCAGGCCTCGGTGTCAATCGCCTTCCAGTGTGAGCAATCGTTGGCGACGTCTTCCCACCTATCGATGTGCATCTTCAAACTTCTCTTTCTCCTCCTTTTCCAGTCCTCGGTGTCAATCACCTTCCCAGTGTGAGCAATCGTTGACGTCTTCCCACCCATCGATGTGCATCTTCAAACTTCTCTTTCTCCTCTCCTTTTTCCAGGCTCGGTGTCAATCACCTTCCCAGTGTGAGCAATCGTTGGCGACGTCTACCCACCTATCGATGTGCATCTTCAAACTTCTCTTTCTCCTCTCCTTTTTCCAGGCTCGGTGTCAATCACCTTCCCAGTGTGAGCAATCGTTGGCGACGTCTACCCACCTATCGATGTGCATCTTCAAACTTCTCTTTTCCAGCCCTCCTTTTTCCAGCCCTTCCCAGTGTCAATCGTTATGACGTTCCCAGTGTGAGATGTGCAATCGTTGGCGACGTCTCCTTTTCCCACCTATCGATGTGCATCTTCAAACTTCGATCATTTCTCTCTCTCCTTTTTCCAGCCCTCGGTGTCAATCGCCTTCCCAGTGTGAGCAATCGTTGGCGACGTCTTCCCACCTATCGATGTGCATCTTCAAACTTCTCTTCTCCTCTCCAGCCTTTTCCAGCCCTCGGTGTCAATCGCCTTCCCAGTGTGAGCAATCGTTGGCGACGTCTTCCCACCCATCGATGTGCATCTTCAAACTTCTTTTCTCCTCTCCTTTTTCCAGGCTCGGTGTCAATCACCTTCCCAGTGTGAGCAATCGTTGGCGACGTCTTCCCACCCATCGATGTGCATCTTCAAACTTCCCTTTCTCCTCTCTTTTTCCAGCCCTCGGTGTCAATCGCCTTCCCAGTGTGAGCAATCGTTGGCGACGTCTTCCCCACCTATCGATGTGCATCTTCAAACTTCTTTTCTCCTCCCTTTTCCAGCCCTCGGTGTCTATCGCCTTCCCAGTGTGAGCAATCGTTGGCGACGTCTTCCCACCCATCGATGTGCATCTTCAAACTTCTCTTTCTCCTCTCCTTTTCCAGCCTCGGTGTCAATCGCCTTCCCAGTGTGAGCAATCGTTGGCGACGTCTTCCCACCTATCGATGTGCATCTTCGAACTTCCCTTTCTCCTCTCCTTTTCCAGCCCTCGGTGTCTATCGCCTTCCCAGTGTGAGCAATCGTTGGCGACGTCTTCCCACCCATCGATGTGCATCTTCAAACTTTCTTTCTCCTCTCCTTTTTCCAGCCTCGGTGTCAATCGCCTTCCCAGTGTGAGCAATCGTTGGCGACGTCTTCCCACCTATCGATGCATCTTCGAAACTTCGCTTTCTCCTCTCCTTTTCCAGCCCTCGGTGTCAATCGCCTTCCCAGTGTGAGCAATCGTTGGCGACGTCTTCCCACCCATCGATGTGCATCTTCAAACTTCTTTCTCCTCTCCTTTTCCAGCCCTCGGTGTCAATCGCCTTCCCAGTGTGAGCAATCGTTGGCGACGTCTTCCCACCCATCGATGTGCATCTTCAAACTTCTCTTTCTCCTCTCCTTTTCCAGCCCTCGGTGTCAATCGCCTTCCCAGTGTGAGCAATCGTTGGCGACGTCTTCCCACCCATCGATGTGCATCTTCAAACTTCTTTCTCCTCTCCTTTTCCAGCCCTCGGTGTCAATCACCTTCCCAGTGTGAGCAATCGTTGGCGACGTCTTCCCACCTATCGATGTGCATCTTCAAACTTCTCTTTCTCCACTCCTTTTTCCAGCCCTCGGTGTCTATCGCCTTCCCAGTGTGAGCAATCGTTGGCGACGTCTTCCCACCTATCGATGTGCATCTTCAAACTTCTCTTTCTCCTCTCCTTTTTCCAGGCTCGGTGTCAATCACCTTCCCAGTGTGAGCAATCGTTGGCGACGTCTTCCCACCTATCGATGTGCATCTTCAAACTTCTTTCTCCTCCTCCTTTTTCCAGGCCTCGGTGTCAATCACCTTCCCCAGTGTGAGCAATCGTTGGCGACGTCTTCCCACCTATCGATGTGCATCTTCAAACTTCTTTCTCCTCTCCTTTTTCCAGCCCAATCACCTTCGGTGTCACCTATCGATGTGCATCTTCCCAGTGTGAGCAATCGTTGGCGACGTCTTCCCACCCATCGATGTGCATCTTCAAACTTCTCTTTCTCCTCTCCTTTTTCCAGGCTCGGTGTCAATCGCCTTCCCAGTGTGAGCAAACGTGGGCGACGTCTTCCCACCTATCGATGCATCTTCAAACTTCTCTTTCTCCTCTCTTTTTCCAGCCCTCGGTGTCAATCGCCTTCCCAGTGTGAGCAATCGTTGGCGACGTCTTCCCACCTTCCCCATCGATGTTGCATCTTCGAACTTCAAACTTTCTCCTCTCCTTTTTCCAGCCCTCGGTGTCAATCACCTTCCCAGTGTGAGCAATCGTTGGCGACGTCTTCCCACCTATCGATGTGCATCTTCAAACTTCTCTTTCCAGGCCGGTCTCCTTTTTCCAATCGTTGGCCTCGATGTGTTCAATCGCCTTCCCTTTTCCAGTGTGTCAATCAATCCCAGTTGAGCAATCGTTGGCGACGTCTTCCCACCCATCGATGTGCATCTTCAAACTTCTCTTTCTCCTCTCCTTTTTCCAGGCTCGGTGTCAATCACCTTCCCAGTGTGAGCCCAATCGTTGGACGACTTCCCACCCATCGATGTGCATCTTCAAACTTCTTCTTTCTCCTCCTTTTTCCAGCCCTCGGTGTCAATCACCTTCCCAGTGTGAGCAATCGTTGGCGACGTCTTCCCACCCATCGATGTGCATCTTCAAACTTCTTTTTCCCTCCTTTTTCCAGTCCTCAGTGTGTCAATCACCTTCCCAGTGTGAGCAATCGTTGGCAACGTCTTCCCACCCATCGATGTGCATCTTCAAACTTCTCTTTCTCCTCTTCCTTTTTCCAGGCTCGGTGTCAATCACCTTCCCAGTGTGAGCAATCGTTGGCGACGTCTTCCACCCATCTATCGATGTGCATCTTCAAACTTCTCTTTCTCCTCTCCTTTTTCCAGCCCTCGGTGTCAATCACCTTCCCAGTGTGAGCAATCGTTGGCGACGTCTTCCCACCCATCGATGTGCATCTTCAAACTTCTTTTCTCCTCTCCTTTTTCCAGGCCTCGGTGTCAATCACCTTCCCAGTGTGAGCAATCGTTGGCGACGTCTTTCCACCCATCGATGCATCTTCAAACTTCTCTTTCTCCTCTCCTTTTCCAGCCCTCGGTGTCAATCGCCTTCCCAGTGTGAGAGCAATCGTTGGCGACGTCTTCCCACCCATCGATGTGCATCTTCAAACTTCTCTTCTCCTCTCCTTTTTCCAGCCCTCGGTGTCAATCACCTTCCCAGTGTGAGCAATCGTTGGCGACGTCTTCCCCACCCATCGATGTGCATCTTCAAACTTCCCTTTTCTCCTCTCCTTTTTCCAGATGTCCTCGATGTGTCAATCACCTTCCCAGTGTGAGCAATCGTTGGCGACGTCTTCCCACCTATCGATGTGCATCTTCAAACTTCTCTTTCTCCTCTCCTTTTCCAGGCCCTCGGTGTCAATCGCCTTCCCAGTGTGAGCAATCGTTGGCGACGTCTTCCCACCTATCGATGTGCATCTTCAAACTCGATGTGCATCTTTCTCCTCTCCTTTTCCAGCCCTCGGTGTCAATCGCCTTCCCAGTGTGAGCAATCGTTGGCGACGTCTTCCCACCCATCGATGTGCATCTTCAAACTTTCTTTCTCCTCTCCTTTTCCAGGCCTCGGTGTCAATCGCCTTCCCAGTGTGAGCAATCGTTGGCGACGTCTTCCCACCCATCGATGTGCATCTTCAAACTTCTCTTTCTCCTCTCCCAGTTTTTCCAGTCCTCGGTGTCAATCACCTTCCCAGTGTCAATGAGCAATCGTTGGCGACGTCTTCCCACCCATCGATGTGCATCTTCAAACTTCTTTCTCCTCTCCTTTTTCCAGCCCTCATTGTCAATCGCCTTCCCAGTGTGAGCAATCGTTGGCGACGTCTTCCCACCTATCGATGTGCATCTTCAAACTTCGCTTTCTCCACTCCTTTTTCCAGCCCTCGGTGTCTATCGCATTCCCAGTGTGAGCAATCGTTGGCGACGTCTTCCCACCCCATCATCGATGTTCAAATCTTCAAACTTCTCTCCTTTTCCTCTCGGTTTTCCAGCCCTCGGATGTGTCAATCTTTCTCCCTTTTCCCAGCCTGTGAGCAATCGTTGGCGACGTCTTCCCACCCATCGATGTGCATCTTCAAACTTCTCTTTCTCCTCTCCTTTTTTCCAGTCCTCGGTGTCAATCATCTTCCCAGTGTGAGCAATCGTTGTGACGTCTTCCCACCTATCGATGTGCATCTTCAAACTTCTTTTTCTCTCTCTTTTTCCAGCCCTCGGTGTCAATCGCCTTCCCAGTGTGAGCAATCGTTGGCGACGTCTTCCCACCTATCGATGTGCATCTTCAAACTTCTCTTTCTCCCATCCTTTTCCAGCCCTCGGTGTCAATCACCTTCCCAGTGTGAGCAATCGTTGGCGACGTCTTCCCACCTATCGATGTGCATCTTCAAACTTCTCTTTCTCCTCCTTTTTCCAGGCCTCGGTGTCAATCGCCTTCCCAGTGTGAGCAATCGTTGGCGACGTCTTCCCACCTATCGATGTGCATCTTCAAACTTCTCTTTCTCCTCTCCTTTTCCAGGCTCGGTGTTCGCCTTCCCAGTGTGAGCAATCGTTGGCGACCCCCATCGATGTGCATCTTCAAACCTTCCCTCTCCTTTTTCCAGTGTGAGCAATCGTTGGTGACGTCGTTGGCCGTCTTCCCCACCCATCGATGTGCATCTTCAAACTTCTTTTCTCCTCTCCTTTTTCCAGCCCTCGGTGTCTATCGCCTTCCCAGTGTGAGCAATCGTTGGCGAGGTCTTCCCACCCATCGATGTGCATCTTCAAACTTCTCTTTCTCCTCTCCTTTTCCAGCCCTCGGTGTCTATCGCCTTCCCAGTGTGAGCAATCGTTGGCGACGTCTTCCCACCTATCGATATGCATCTTCAAACCTCTTTCTCCTCTCCTTTTCCAGCCCTCGGTGTCAATCACCTCCCAGTGTGAGCAATCGTTGGCGACGTCTTCCCACCCATCGATGTGCATCTTCAAACTTCTCTTTCTCTCCTTTTTCCCAGCCCTCGGTGTCAATCACCTTCCCAGTGTGAGCAATCGTTGGCGACGTCTTCCCACCTATCGATGTGCATCTTCAAACTTCTTTCTCCTCTCCTTTTTCCAGCCCTCGGTGTCAATCGCCTTCCCAGTGTGAGCAATCGTTGGCGACGTCTTCCCACCCATCGATGTGCATCTTCAAACTTCCTCTTTCTCCTCTCCTTTTTCCAGCCCTCGGTGTCAATCGCCTTCCCAGTGTGAGCAATCGTTGGCGACGTCTTCCCACCTATCGATGTGCATCTTCAAACTTCTTCTTTCTCCTCTCTTTTTCCAGCCCTCAGTGTCAATCACCTTCCCAGTGTGAGCAATCGTTGGCGACGTCTTCCCACCTATCGATGTGCATCTTCAAACTTCTCTCTTTCTCCTTTTCCAGCCTCGGTGTCAATCACCTCCCAGTGTGAGCAATCGTTGGCAACGTCTTCCACCCATCGATGTGCATCTTCAAACTCTTCCTCCTTTCCATTTTTCCAGTCCTCGTGTGTCAATCGCTTTCTTCCCAGTGTGAGCAATCGTTGGCGACGTCTTCCCACCCATCGATGTGCATCTTCAAACTTCTTTTCTCCTCTCCTTTTTTCAGTCCTCGGTGTCAATCACCTTCCCAGTGTGAGCAATCGTTGGCGACGTCTTCCCACCCATCGATGTGCATCTTCAAACTTCTCTTTCTCCTCTCCTTTTTCCAGCCCTCGGTGTCAATCGCCTTACCCAGTGTGAGCAATCGTTGGCGACGTCTTCCCACCCATCGATGTGCATCTTCAAACTTCTCTTCTCCCTCTCCTTTTCCAGTCCTCGGTGTCAATCACATTCCCAGTGTGAGCAATCGTTGGCGACGTCTTCCCCACCCATCGATGTGCATCTTCAAACTTCTTTCCTTTTTTCCAGGCTCGGTGTCAATCGCCTTCCCAGTGTTTTCCCACCCTCGATGTGCATCTTCAAACTTCGCTATCGCCTTCCCCAGTCCTCAGTGTCAATCGTGTGAGCAATCGTTGGCTTCCCACCCATCGATGTGCATCTTCAAACTTCTCTTTCTCCTCTCCTTTTTCCAGTCCTCAGTGTCAATCACCTCCCAGTGTGAGCAATCGTTGGCGACGTCTTCCCACCCATCGATGTGCATCTTCAAACTTCTCTTTCTCCTCTCCTTTTTCCAGCCCCTCGGTGTCAATCGCCTTCCCAGTGTGAGCAATCGTTGGCGAGGTCTTCCACCCATCGATGTGCATCTTCAAACTTCTCTTTCTCCTCTCCTTTTTCCAGTCCTCGGTGTCAATCACCTTCCCAGTGTGAGCAATCGTTGGCGACGTCTTCCCACCCATCGATGTGCATCTTCAAACTTCTCTCTTTCTCTCCTTTTTCCAGCCCTCGGTGTCAATCGCCTTCCCAGTGTGAGCAATCGTTGGCGATGTCTTCCCACCTATCGATGTGCATCTTCAAACTTCTCTTTCTCCTCTCCTTTTCCAGCCCTCGGTGTCAATCGCCTTCCCAGTGTGAGCAATCGTTGGCGACGTCTTCCCACCTATCGATGTGCATCTTCAAACTTCTCTTTCTTCCTCCTTTTCCAGGCCTTGTCAATCACCTTCCAGTTCCAGCCCCGACTTCTTCCCCCTATCGAGTCCTCAGTGTCATCTTCCCTTCTCTTTCTCCTCCACTTTTTCCAGCCCTCGGTGTCTCCCCTCCCTTTTTCCAGTGTGAGCAATCGTTGCATCTTTCCCACCTATCGATGTGCATCTTCAAACTTCTCTTTCTCTCCTTTTCCAGTCCTCGTTGTCATCGCCTTCCCAGTGTGAGCAATCGTTGGCGACGTCTTCCCACCCATCGATGTGCATCTTCAAACTTCTCTTTCTCCTCTCCTTTTTCCAGGCCTCGGTGTCAATCACCTTCCCAGTGTGAGCAATCGTTGGCGACGTCTTCCCACCCATCGATGTGCATCTTCAAACTTCTCTTTCCTCTCTTTTTTCCAGCCCTCGGTGTCAATCGATGTGCTTTCCCAGTGTGAGTAATCGTTGGCGACGTCTTCCCACCTATCGATGTGCATCTTCAAACTTCTCTTCTCCCTCCTTTTTCCAGTCCTCAGTGTCAATCACCTTCCCAGTGTGAGCAATCGTTGGCGACGTCTTCCCACCTATCGATGTGCATCTTCAAACTTCTTTCTCCTCTCCTTTTCCAGGCCTCGGTGTCAATCACCTTCCCAGTGTGAGCAATCGTTGGCGACGTCTACCCACCTATCGATGTGCATCTTCAAACTTCTTTTTCTCCTCTCTTTTTCCAGCCCTCGGTCAATCACCTCCCAGTGTGAGCAATCGTTGGCGACGTCTTCCCACCTATCGATGTGCATCTTCAAACTTCTCTTTCTCCTCTCCTTTTTCCAGCCCTCGGTGTCAATTTCTTCCCAGTGTGAGCAATCGTTGGCGATGTCTTCCCACCTATCGATGCATCTTCAAACTTCTCTTTCCTCTCCTTTTTTCCAGCCCTCGGTGTCAATCACCTTCCCAGTGTGAGCAATCGTTGGCGACGTCTTCCCACCCATCGATGTGCATCTTCAAACTTCTTTCTTTCCTTTTTCCAGCACTCGTTTTTTCCCAGTCAATCGTTGGCGACGTCTTTCCACCTAACGATGTGCATCTTCAAACTCACTCTCTCCCCAGTCGTGTCAATCACCTTCCCAGTGTGAGCGTCGTTGGCGACGTCTTCCCACCCATCGATGCATCTTCAAACTTCTCTTTCTCCTCTCTCCTTTTCCAGCCCTCGGTGTCAATCACCTTCCCAGTTTCCGTGAGCAATCGTTGGCGACGTCTTCCCACCCATCGATGTGCATCTTCAAACTTCTCTTTCTCCACTTTTTTCCAGCCCCTCGTGTCCAATCACCTTCCCAGTGTGAGCAATCGTTGGCGACGTCTTCCCACCCTATCGATGTGCATCTTCAAACTTATCTTTCTCCTCTCCTTTTTCCAGCCTCAGTGTCAATCGCCTTCCCAGTGTGAGCAATCGTTGGCGACGTCTTCCCACCCATCGATGTGCATATTCAAACTTCTCTTTCTCCTCTCCTTTTTCCAACCCTAGGTGTCTATCGCCTTCCCAGTGTGAGCAATCGTTGGCGACGTCTTCCCACCTATCGATGTGCATCTTCAAACTTCTCTTTCTCCTCTCCTTTTTCCAGCCCTCAGTGTCAATCGCCTTCCCAGGTGTGAGCAATCGTTGGCGATGTCTTCCCACCTATCGATGTGCATCTTCAAACTTCACTTTCTCCTCTCCTTTTTTCAGCCCTCCGGTGTCAATCATTCCCAGTGTGAGCAATCGTTGGCGACGTCTTCCCACCTATCGATGTGCATCTTCAAACTTCTCTTTCTCCTCTCCTTTTCCAGCCCTCGGTGTCAATCGCCTTCCCAGTGTGAGCAATCGTTGGCGACGTCTTCCCCACCCCATCGATGTGCATCTTCAAACTTCTCTTTCTCCTCTCCTTTTTTCCAGCCCTCGTTGTCAATCGCCTTCCCAGTGTGAGCAATCGTTGGCGACGTCTTCCCACCTATCGATGTGCATCTTCAAACTTCTCTTTCTCCTCTCCTTTTCCAGCCCTCGGTGTCAATCACCTTCCCAGTGTGAGCAATCGTTGGCGACGTCTTCCCACCCATCGATGTGCATCTTCAAACTTCTCTTTCTCCTCTCCTTTTTCCAGCCCTCGGTGTCAATCGCCTTCCCAGTGTGAGCAATCGTTGGCGACGTCTTCCCACCCATCGATGTGCATCTTCAAACTTTTCTTTCTCCTCTCCTTTTTCCAGCCCTCGGTGTCAATCGCCTTCCCAGTGTGAGCAATCGTTGGCGACGTTTTTCCCACCTATCGATGTGCATCTTCAAAATCGTTGGCTTTCTCCCCATCTGTGCATTTTCCTCCCCTCGTTTTCAATCGGTGTCAATCTTCCCAGTGTGAGCAATCGTTGGCGACGTCTTCCCACCTATCGATGTGCATCTTCAAACTTCTCTTTCTCCTCTCTTTTTCCAGCCCTCAGTGTCAATCGCCTTCCCAGTGTGAGCAATCGTTGTTATCGACGTCTTCCCACCTATCGATGTGCATCTTCAAACTTCTCTTTCTCCTCTCCTTTTTCCAGCCCTCAGTGTCTATCGCCTTCCCAGTGTGAGCAATCGTTGGCGACGTCTTCCCACCTATCGATGTGCATATTCAAACTTCCTTTCTCCTCTGCTTTTTCCAGTCCTCGTTGTCAATCACCTTCCCAGTGTGAGCAATCGTTGGCGACGTCTACCCACCTATCGATGTGCATCTTCAAACTTCTCTTTCTCCTCTCTATTTTTTCCAGCCCTCGGTGTCAATCGCCTTCCCAGTGTGAGCAATCGTTGGCGACGTCTTCCCACCTATCGATGTGCATATTCGAACTTCGCTTTCTCCACTCCTTTTTCCAGCCCTCGGTGTCTATCGCCTTCCCAGTGTGAGCAATCGTTGGCGACGTCTTCCCACCTATCGATGTGCATCTTCAAACTTCTCTTTCTCCTCTCCTTTTTCCAGCCCTCGGTGTCTATCGCCTTCCCAGTGTGAGCAATCGTTGGCGACGTCTTCCCACCTATCGATGTGCATCTTCAAACTTCTCTTTCTCCTCTCCTTTTTCCAGCCCTCGGTGTCAATCGTCTTCCCAGTGTGAGCAATCGTTGGCGACGTCTTCCCACCCCCATCGATGTGCATCTTCAAACTTCTCTTTCTCCTCTCCTTTTTCCAGTCCTCGTTGTCAATCACCTTCCCAGTGTGAGCAATCGTTGGCGACGTCTTCCCACCTATCGATGTGCATCTTCAAACTTCTCTTTCTCCTCTCCTTTTTCCAGCCCTCGGTGTCAATCGCCTTCCCAGTGTGAGCAATCGTTGGCGACGTCTTCCCACCTATCGATGTGCATCTTCAAACTTCTCTTTCTCCTCTCCCTTTTCCAGCCCTTTTCAATCGTTCCCAGTGTGCAGAGCAATCGTTGGCCTTCCCACGATGTCTTCAAACTCTCTTTCTCCTCTCCCAGTCCTCAGTGTCAATCACCTTCCCAGTGTGAGCAATCGTTGGCAACGTCTTCCCACCCATCGATGTGCATCTTCAAACTTCTCTTTCTCCTCTCCTTTTTCAGCCCTCGGTGTCAATCGCCTTCCCAGTGTGAGCAATCGTTGGCGACGTCTTCCCACCCATCGATGTGCATCTTCAAACTTCTCTTTCTCTCTCCTTTCCAGCCCTCGGTGTCATCGCCTTCCCAGTGTGAGCAATCGTTGGCGACGTCTTCCCACCTATCGATGTGCATCTTCAAACTTCTCTTTCTCCTCTCCTTTTTCCAGCCCTCCGTGTCTATCGCCTTCCCAGTGTGAGCAATCGTTGGCGACGTCTTCCCCACCTATCGATGTGCATCTTCAAACTTCTCTTTCTCCTCTCCTTTTCCAGCCTCAATCTTGTCAATCAATCGTTGGCGACGTCTTCCCAGTGTGCAGCAAATCTCTCGTTGGCGATGTCTTCCCACCTATCGATGTGCGATCTTCAAACTTCTCTTTCTCCTCTCCTTTTTCCAGCCCTCGGTGTCAATCGCCTTCCCAGTGTGAGCAATCGTTGGCGACGTCTTCCCACCTATCGATGTGCATCTTCAAACTTCTCTTTCTCCTATCCTTTTTTCAGCCCTCGGTGTCAATCACCTTCCCAGTGTGAGCAATCGTTGGCGACGTCTTCCCACCTATCGATGTGCATCTTCAAACTTCTCTTTCTCCTCTCCTTTTTCCAGCCCTCGTTGTCAATCTCCTTCCCAGTGTGAGCAATCGTTGGCGACGTCTTCCCACCTATCGATGTGCATCTTCAAACTTCTCTTTCTCCTCTCCTTTTTCCAGTCCTCGTTGTCAATCACCTTCCCAGTGTGAGCAATCGTTGGCGACGTCTTCCCACCTATCGATGTGCATCTTCAAACTTCTTTTCTCCTCTCCTTTTTCCAGCCCTCGGTGTCAATCGCCTTCCCAGTGTGAGCAATCGTTGGCATCGTCTTCCCACCTATCGATGTGCATCTTCAAACTTCTCTTTCTCCTCTTTTCCAGCCCCTCGGTGTCAATCCCCACCTTCCAGTGTGAGCAATCGTTGGCGACGTCTTCCCACCCATCGATGCATCTTCAAACTTCTTTTTCTCCTCCTTTTTCCAGCCCTCGGTGTCAATCGCCTTCCCAGTGTGAGCAATCGTTGGCGACGTCTTCCCACCTATCGATGTGCATCTTCAAACTTCTCTTTCTCCTCTCCTTTTTCCAGCCCTCGGTGTCAATCACATTCCCAGTGTGAGCAATCGTTGGCGACGTCTTCCCACCTATCGATGTGCATCTTCAAACTTCTCTTTCTCCTCTCCTTTTTCCAGCCCTCGGTGTCAATCGCCTTCCCAGTGTGAGCAATCGTTGGCGACGTCTTCCCACCCATCGATATGCATCTTCAAACTTCTCTTTTCTCCTCTCCTTTTTCCAGCCCTCGGTGTCAATCACCTTCCCAGTGTGAGCAATCGTTGGCGACGTCTTCCCACCTATCGATGTGCATCTTCAAACTTCTCTTTCTCCTTCTCTTTTCCAGCCCTCTCCTTTTCCAGCCCGTCTTCCACGGTGTTCAAACTTCGCTTTCTTCCCCTTTTTCCAGTGGTGTCAATCGTTGGAGCAATCGACGTCTTCCCACCTATCGATGTGCATCTTCAAACTTCTTTTCTCTCCTTTCCAGCCCTCGGTGTCAATC